GGGCGGCTCTCTGAGGCACTGGGATCAGAGGGACCGCTATGACTTACCAAGGTCTGTCAGCGGCAGGTCTCAGGTCTGGGATTGTCCCGCGAGCGTCCAGGCTGCCGCACCCCCGACAGAAGACCCCCAAGAACCTCTCCCTGACCCAGCCGCCACAGGGGGAGGGAGCCGAGCACCGGAGGAGGGGCCGGCTTGGTGACCTTTTTAGATCATCTGCCCTGTCACCTCACTTTCTGAGCTGGCCCCCCCTCCACGTCCCAGGGCTCAGGTCACTGAGGACAGAATGAAATTCCTGTGCTGTCAGAAATCAAAATTGGGGGAAGGGAGCGGGTGTTTGCTCAGGAGCCTTTCTACTCCAGTGGTGGTGGGTGGGGGGTGGGTAAAAGAAAGAGAAGGCATGTACACACACACACACACACTCACACACCCATCTCCACAGTGCCATTCATGCACAGCACCCTGCCACCTGCAGCCTGGTGATCTTTCCCTAAAGACAGGACATAGGCTTGCCTTTTGGGGCCAGGATTCAGACCCAGGGAGGGCTTTTGGGTCCCACCTCTTTATTCAGTGCACTGGGAGCCTGCCTCACCTGGAAGGCCACTGCGGCCCTCTGAGGCAAACACCAAGCTGCTAGGATGAGACAGTAGCTAGGACGCTGCCTGAGCTGCAGTGCTCTTTGGACACAGGTGCTGTCCTGCTGGTCTCTGAGCTCCTGATGAGCTATAGGAAGAAAGCCCAAGCACACCTGCACGCTCAGCGACCCTAGCAAAATATGGCCAGAGGCCAAAGGATCTCTTGAGAATTGTGGAGTCCGGCACCTGAGGGGTGTAAGTTGCCCCAGTGTGAACTGCAAGGCCCAACATCAGTCCAAGAGGTCCCCAGCTGACCTTGGGACATCAGTGAAACTGAGGAACACAAAGGTTCACTCTCAGGCATCTGAGGGCAGGTGCACACTCATGGCAACTGAGTTCAGAGAAGGTAACAGAAGTGTTGAAGGCAGCGCTTAGTTCTGTTCATTTAGAAACCCACACTTGCTGTACTTCCATTGTTGGGTCAGTTTAAAGGTCATGTTTGGTACTGGCCAGGGGCAGTAGCTTCACCATGCTGATGTTTCATCCTGGGCACCCGCCAGCAGTGTAGGCTGACTAAGGGTGGGACTTCAGCATTGGGTAAGAAGCTGCACCAGGAGCTCTCTACTTTAGGAGACTGTATTCCAAATCCCAGCACAGAAATGCTAACTTCCAGCTGGGTGGCATGGCTGTGCAGGTTGTGCTGCACACCGCTCTGGCCCTGAGCCATTTCCAGACAAGGAGATCCTGGGCAAGGCTTGTGACCCCTCGCTGTGCCTCCATTTCCTCTTCTTCAAAGAAGGGCAACAACGGCAATACCTCCGTCAGAGGACTGTTGTGGGATTAAGGGAGCCTGTGCATGAAAGTGCACAGCAGGTCCGTGGTAATGATTGCCAAGGAAATCCCAGGATGAGCGCAGAACATGCATATTATGTTCTCTGGCATTTGCTGTGATGCGATTTATCCTGCACATTGAACCACAATGAGTTCATGTTTTGGTTTACTCAACACTAGTAGCAGAAGCAAAGCGGGGCTCAAACCCAAAATTTCCTGGAACTTCTCTGCCTTCTCTCTGTCTTTCCCATCCCCTCTCCTCTCAGGCCCCTGTCATCTGGTCTGATAACTGACAAGACTGCAACTGTATGGCCACAGACAGCACCCTGAGACTGCTCATACCCCTACCACCTGTCAGAAATTCCCCAGAGGGCAGATCTTTAAAGCCATGGATGCTAGGTCTCTGCATTCAGGCCACCTGCAACTGAGACCAGATGCTGTGTCCCTGACAAGTGTACCGAAGCTCAGGTTAGATACCATCACATACCCCTTGGATGGCTTTGAACGAAAATAACAAGTGTTGGTGAGGGTATGAAAAAACTGGCATCCTTGTGCATTGCTGGTGGGTGTGTAGGATGGTGCAAGTGCCCTGGATGGTGGCTCCTCAGGAAGTCAAACATAATGTTGTCACATGACGGAGCTATTTCACTCCATAGACCCAAAAGAACTGAGAACAGATGTTCAGACAAAGGCTTGTGAAAGAGTTCGCAGCAGCACCATTTACAGTAGCTAACAACTCAAAACAACTCAAAAGTCCAGCAGATGAATGGATAAACAAAACACAGTCCTTCTTTACAATGAGATATATTTTGCATGCTACAATGTGGATAAATCTTGAAAACACTATGCTGAATGAAATAGCCCAGACACAAAGGGGCACATGCTGTGGTTCCATTGATACGAAATATCCAGAATAGGCAAATCCACAGAGACAGAAAGCACAGCGGTGGCTGCCAGGGGACAGGGAGGAGTAGGGAGTAGCTGCTGATGGGCGTGGGTTTATCTTTGGGGTGATGAAAATATTCTTAAAATCAACTGTGGGGATGATAGAACAACAATGTGAACATACTAAGCACCATGGAATTTAAAAGTACATTTTAGTTGTTAATATTTTTTTAGTTATAGGTGGACACAATACCTTTTATTTTATTTTTATGTGGCGCTGAGGATTGAACCCTCAGTGCCCCACCTCTGAGCCACAAACCCAGCCCTTTAAAGTACATTTTAAAGTGGTTAATTCTATGTTCTATGAATTTTACCTTTAAAAAGTGCCACCAGCCAGGTGTGGTGACTCATGCCTGTTATCCCAGGTGCTTGGAAGCCTGAGACAAGAGGATCGTAAGTTCAAGGCTCACCTCAGAAACTTAGCAAGACTCTAAGCCACTTAGTGAGAACCTGTTTCAAAATAAAAGATAAATTTAAAAAGGCTGGAGATGTGGCTCAGTGGTAGAGCACCCTGGGTTCAATCCCCGGTACCAAAAAACCTCAACCAACCAACTATCCAAACAAAACTCACCAATGAGTCAGACTGCTGATGGTCATCAGGCTGGGCAGAGAACACCAGAGGACAGCTGGAGCGAGGCCTGAGGCCGGCGGGTGGAGGGACTAAGGATGGGCAGGCTGCTCTTCCTGTCGCTGCTCCCTGCACAGCTGGGGATGGAGAGGGTGACAAAGGGCCTGCCTTCTGTGTTTGGACCCAGGCTCTACTGCTGGCCTGTGACTGGGGCTCTGAAGTTCCTGGTCCGTGAAGGGGACATAGTGCGAGTACCTGCCCCACAGGGTCATCATGAGCATCGAGTGAGGCAGGCTGTGTGGGAGCTCTGCCTGCTGTTCTAGGCAAGGAACATGTGACAGGTAACAGGAATGACTCCTAGGCTCCCCAGTTGGTGCTGACAGTCCCTCAGGGACCAAGGTGTGCGGGGTCCCAGGCACAGGAGGCTGTGGACTACTTGGAAGGGAAGACACTGGGCATGGTGTGTGCCCGGATCTGCCCCTGGCTGCCCACTGCATGTCAGAGCCAGGTTCTGCAGGGTTCCTGCCCCTGGGCTTCCCCAGCTCCCATTCAGGCCAATGGCAGATGCTGCTGTCTGTGCATAGATCTTCTGCCCACTTAGCTGCAAGGGAGCTGGGGAAAAGGGGATCCTCCAAGGGGGCTCACTCCTTCTGAGCGGAACCCCGAGAAGAGGGTGGGCCGTGGGTTTGGTTCACTGCCGCCCCCTTTGGGAGGAGGGGACCCAGGGATGCACCGATGAGCACAAAATTAACTGACAAGAGTCACGGGCCTGTCTCAGAAGGTAGAAGCCTAATTCCTAGGAAGAGAGAGTCAAGTTGGAAAATTGTGGGAATAAGAGGTAGGGTACGTGTTGGGGTGACTGCAGGCTGGGCTGACCAATGGCGGGGCTGGGGAAAGAGTGCAGGTATCATAGAGGGCAGGTAGCAGAGCATGGGCTTCCACCTGAGGCCCCAACAGATCAGTGACTTCACCAGTTGCTAGGTCTCCAGGGTTTAGGATGTCCAGTCTCGCTGGACCTAGTTTCCATGCCCAGATGTGGGATGCTGCATGTCTTGCCCCGTCAACAGCACTAAGGTGGCTCCATGGTCCAGCAGCTGCCTATCATCTGGGGCCCAGCTTTTCTGGGCTGCCCTAGTCACTCTGCATTTTGTGGCCAGCTGGGCAGCTCTGTACCCAATCCGCTGGCCTCTGAGGCCTGAGTAGGCAGGGAAACTGAGAAGGCCACTCCTTACCCTGTAGCCTGCTTCAAGAGGATGCCCTGGTCCCAGTGAACTGAGAGCCTCCCTCCAGCTCTGAGCCTGGGGACCACAGATTAAGCCCCCCTTTCCATACTCCCTCCCATTCTTTGGCAGGATTCTCAAACCCTTGTCCTGAGGAAAGCCCCTTACCAAGAGGTGTCTGGCAGGGATGGTATTGAGGCTGGGGGTCACCGTGGATCTCTCAGCTCAGGCCTGGTAGGGGAGAGAGAGGCAGGGCCACAGGTCAGGCCCAGTCTCTCCAAAGCCCCCAGCCTGGCTCTTAGGAACCAGGCCTGATGTGCGCAGTCGGTGGGGATCTGGCAAGTAGACCTTACCCTTGTCCTAGGACTGAAACACTGCACTCCGAGTCCCTCCACTGGGGGGTCGGAGCCCTGGTGACCGGTCGCTGTCCCTGTGATCCACTGTGCCCCCGACACCCCGGGGGTGTTTCTACTGCAGTCTGGACCTGTCAGTCTTCGCCCTGCTGGTACTTTGCTAGGATGGATCCCCTTCTTGGCACCCCAGCAGCTGAGCCCTGCCCTAGTCACTTCCCTGTGTGGCCCTGCCTGGAGGTGGTCCAGCTGGAGGACCCTGCGGGGTGCTGGCCTTGTTGATGTGGGCTAGCACACTCCAAAGCTGGGGCAGAAGGTGCGGCATGGGTGAGCCGCCTAGCTCATGGGTGGAGATGGGGCTTCTTGGGTATCTTGGGGGCATCACCAAAGTGACAAGCAATTCCTCGTCCTTACTGGACAGACAAGGAGCCAGTGTTCAAGGAGGTCAGGGCCCTGGGTGCTGGGAGAGGGGTGGAAAGGCTGCTCCTTGCCCCTCCAGCTGTCACTGAGTCCTACAAAGCTGCAGCCTGGCCCATCTGCCCACTGCTGGTCCCCAGGCTCCTGCTGCAGCAGCGGCTGCAGGCCAGAGGCCGCCGGGCCATGTGACCTTACGCTGGCCTCCCTCCCACCCTGTGATTCGCACGTGGCCTCTGGGGAGGCAGAAACAAACCCTCAGATCTTGCCACTGGGAACCTTTCAGCGCCAGAGACATCAAAGGGGGCCTCGGGGGTGGTGGATGCTTCTCTTAAAGGGCCATGCCACTTTTAATTCAAAGCAGATCCTGGGAACAGCTGTCTAGCTGCAGCGGGAGGGAGGGTGCTGGCAGCAAAGGAGCAGAAGGAAGGTGGTATTGAGGGGCCACTCCTCCCCTCCAGACGCACCGTGTCGCTGCCCAGAACCTAGGTGGAGCACAGAAGGCGGTGGGGGCTGGGAACAGGAGGGTGCTCTCCAGGGGACTTCCTTACCAGTCCTGCAGGAGACCACTGGCTTCTCAGAGGAGGGGACTGTGGTAGGGGCTTATCACCCTGCCAGCCAGCGGGTGGCAACTTAGACCTAGGCTGATTGAATGAAAGAAAGAATGTGGTCCCTCTCACACATCTGAGCATGGACCGAGGTCCTCACTGCCCAGGGGTCTGCCTGTCTGCAGGCTGCTGGCTGCCTTCAGAGGTGGGTGGCTCCACATGCCAGGGGCAGGCTCTCTGAGAGTCACACCTCACACACCTGAGTCCTGTCCAGGCACAGGGACACAGGCCTAGACAGCAGGGCACATCACAAGGCTTGTCTTTGGAGCTCCTGGCAGAAGGACAGTGGGAGGAGAAGTGTGAAAACCAGGCAGAGAACAGACCCACACAGGCCCAGACCTCTGCTTCCCGGGCAAAGACCCCAACCCCATCTTGTGGTCAAGTTCGGGGCCTTCCCATGGCCCACACGGGATGTGCTGCCGCGTGCGGAGCCAGGGTCCACTCCCCGAGGGGTTGTGAGGCCAGTGCTGTGGCTGCTTCCACTCCATGAATTTGGGGCTGAGGGCAGAGCAGGGTCTGCTCTGTGCCCAGGCCAGCAGGGAATACTGGAGTGCAGGGGAGGGAGCCTCCCTCAGGCCCAGCTAGGCTGCAGACGCTGTGACATCCTGCTCAAAGGGACACTTTGGCTCTCCCCTTACTCTACTGCGGAGAAGCTGCAAGGAAAAGAACAAAGGAGGACGAGTCCTGTCACCTGCGGTGGAAGAAGAAAACTGAAGAGCTGCAGCTGGGCTCTTTTGGCATTCCAACACCAGCACTCTGTCCTAGGCCAATGGAAGGAGCCGGGAGGAAGGCGCTGGCCCTGTCATGCTGTCTCCTTATAACTTAAATCAGCATATATTGTGAACCATCCAAATGTAACAGAAAGTCAAAAAAAAAAAAAAAAGAAGAAGAAGAAAAAGAGGTGAAGGGCTGGGGATGTGGCTCAAGCGGTAGCGCGCTCGCCTGGCATGCATGCGGCCCGGGTTCGATCCTCAGCACCACATACCAACAAAGATGTTGTGTCCGCCGAGAACTAAAAAAATAAATACTAAAATAATAAGAATAAAAAAAGAGGTGAAGAGTAGGGCATGGTGGTACACACCTGTAATCCCAGTGATTTGGGAGGCTGAGGCAAGAGGCTCAAAAGTTCAAGGCCAGCCTCATCAACTTAGTGAGACCTCTGTCTCAAAAGAAAAAACAAACAAAAAAAAAACAGGTATGGGTTGTGGCTCAGAGGTAGAGTGCTCACCTAGCAAGCATGAGGCACTGGGTTTGATCTTCAGCATCACATTAAAAAAATAATGATAAAGATATTGTGTCCACCTATAACTAAAAAATAGATATAAATTAAAAAAAAAAAAGTAAAAAGGGCTGGGAATGCAGCTCAGTGGAAAAGTACTCCTGGGTTCAATCCCCAGTACTGGCTGCCAGAGGCAGGGTGGAGGGGTGTGAAGAAAACAAACTCTAAACTTCAGTTAAAATCAAAATGAATGAGCCTGACTGTGCATCAAATTGTTAACCTAGCTGTAATGGTCAATTTCATGTCAGATTATTGGGCTAGCTGGGCGTGTTGACACACCTGTAGTCCCAGGTACTAGGGAGACTGAGGCAGGAAGATCACAAGTTCAAGACAAGCTGGGACACTCAGCAATACCGTCTCAAAATCAAATTCAGAGGGGCTGGGGCAGAGCACCTGCCTAGCACGTGTGAGGCCCTGGGTTCCATCCTCAGCACCACATAAAATTAAATAAATAAAATAAAGGTGTTGTGTCCATCTACAACTAAAAAAAATTAATAATAAAATAAATAAAGGGCTGGGGTGCACTTCAGCAGTAGTAGACCCCAGCAATGCATTAAAGAGAGAGAGGGAGAGAGAGAGGGAGGCTGAGGCTGTAGCTCAATGGTAGAGCGTTTGCCCCACACATGTGAGGCACTGGATTCAAGTCTCAGCACCACATAAAAATAAATTACAACAAACAAAAAAACGCGAGGAGGGGGAGGGAGGGAGGGAGACGGGCTGGGCGAGGCTGGGCTTAGGGGGTGCCCAGATAGCGGGTGAAACGTGACTTCTGGGTGAATCAGTGAGCTGAGGGAATCTGCACTCCCCAGGGTGGGCAGGGGCCATCCAATTCACTGGAGAACAAATGGCGCATAAAGACGGAAGGAAAAACGCTGTCTTCTCCTCATCCTGCTCCCACTGCCGGGACTGGGCTGGGGCTGGAACCCAGGGCCTTGGGCAGGATAAGCCAGGCTCTACCCTCCAGATACACTCAGCCCCTTCCCTGCTTTTCCTGCCCTTGGAGAGTGGGCTCCTGGTCTTGAGCCTTGAGGACTTATGGCAGTGCAGGCCCCCCTCCCCGCCCAGCTCTCAGGCCTCTGGCCTCAGAGTAGGACTCACGATTGCCCCCCCCCCCTCTCCTTGGTCTTTGACAGTGGATCATGGAACTTCCAGCCTACAAGACCATGTGAACCCATCCCCATAATGAATCTCCTCCTAAACATTTGAACTGTAGCCTGAGAATCTGACCTAAGCCCGCCAAAATAATTAATTCAAATAAAATTTCCCAGTTTTATTTTTATTTATCTGATAAGGGGTCTCACTGTGTAATCGAGGCTGGCCACTAACTCCTGGACTCCAGCACTCCTTCTGCTTCAGCCTCTCCAGTAGCTGGACAACAGACATGTACCATTGTTCCCAGTCTTAAATGAATCTTGAACACAATACTCTGTGTTTCTCTGGTAGGATATATTCTAAGGGCAAAAACAACTAGGAAAAAATTTGGCATTTCATTACTAGGTCTGTGGTTACTAGCAGGACTACTATAGTAGCTCTGAAATTGTTTGAAGACTCCCCCTACCCCACCCCCTGCCCACTCCAGTGCTGGAAATCCAATCCAGAGCCTCACAAATGCTAGGCAAGTGCTTTACCACTCAGCTACACCTCCAGCCCTGGAAGGTAATCCAGTACAGACCAATAGAATCAACATATTGATTTGCTGAAAACAAGCCTTCTCACTGTGGACAAAGGAGATGTAAGGCTGAGCCATATAGATTTACCATTTTTTTTTGTAGATAAAAAACGATTGGAAGTTTCATGATTCAATAAAATACAAATATGGAAAAGACAGGTGCAATGGCACACACCTGTAATCCCAGCAGCTTGGGAGGCTGAGGCAGGAGAATTGCAAGTTCAAAGCCAGCCTCAGCAAAAGGGAGGCTCTAAGCAACTCAGTGAGACCTGTCTCTAATGAAATACAAAATAGGGCTGGGGGTGTGGCTCAGTGGTCCAGTGCCCCTGAGTTCACTACCCCCCCAGAAAAAAAAAACAAATATGGGATGAGGGAAGAAAAGGAAAAGCTGAGGTGTGGCATGGAATTAGCAGCATTTGGAACACTTACAGTGCGGTGCTGCCCCAGGAGGGGCTGGAAGGCAGGGGCATTTCAGCAGCAATGAGAACACTGGGTTCTCGGAACTTGCTTCTGGATCCCATTTCCCTCTGAAGAGGACCAGGGCCTCCTAAAGAAATGGATGACTTTAGGACTGGAGCAAGGGGGAAGTGCTGGGGGTCATGGAAGCCTAAAAGAGCAGGACAGGGGTCACTGGACAGCCAGCTGTGGGTGGGTCTGGAGTATGGGGCCAACGTTAGATCCCTCCGTTCTGCGTAACAGGAGGGGACTTCTATTACAGAATGCCCTTATTCCTGAGAAGCGCACACTGAGGTTTTCAGTGGCAAAGGGACACAATGTGTCCAACTTATCTCCAATGATTCAAAAGAAGTTTATACACAAGTGGAGAAGGGCAATGATGGAGCAAATGGTGCCACCTGTAGACAAATGATTGATCTGGCTAAAAGACATAGAGGGGTTTCTTGGCTGAGGAT